AATTTAATATTAATTCAGATAGAGAGTAAGTTCTTTAAAGATGTCGTTGTTGTTATGTGCTGTTGAGTCATCTGTGACCCATAGCAACCCTATGCACAATGGCTCTGAATTTTACTTTATCTTGAACCTGTCTCACTGTTTCTGACACATCTAACCCTATTGCTCCAGTTGCCATGTCAATCCATCTAATCCCAGGGTCTCCCCCACTTGCACTGTCCCTCCACATTCCAAATATGATGTCCCTCTCTAAGTACTGGCCCTTTCTGACAACATGCCCAAAGTATGTGAGAAGAAGCTTCAAAATCCTCTAAGGTGCAATTTGGTTCACCTTCTCCAGGACAAACCTGTTTGTTCTCTTGGCTATCCATGGAATGTTCAAGACTCTTCTCTAGCACCACAACTCAAAGACATCGATTCTTCTTCTGTCAACCTTTGTCATTATCCAGTTCTCTGATGTAGAACATGACCTGGATCAGATGCACTTTGATCTCCAGAATGACATCATTGTTCTTTAGCACTCTGGAGAGGTCCCCGATAGCAGATTTTCCTAGAGCAATTCATCTTTTGATTTTCTGATTGCTGGTGCCAAGAGTGTTGACAAGAGGAAATTGTTAACAATCTCAATCTCCTCTCTATTTATCATGGATAAAGTTTTTTCTTTCATTGTCCCTGTTACTTAGCAAAATACTGAGTCTGCAATATACTTTTTCTTCTTTTAAAATTTTTTTTATTGATTTGCATATATCCATTTATATATATTGTTTTTGTACATGTACTTTTTGTTTTATGCAGTCATTGGTATACATTATTCAAATTATATTTCATATTACCATTGCTCTACATCTATTATCACCCTGTCTTTTCAAGCCTCCATTAGCATTTCCCATGACTTCCACGCCCTCCCTCACACTAACCTCTGCTGTTCCAGTGATTTTTCTCCTTTCCCCTTTTGCTCCCAACCCTTCTTTCTCTCTTTTCCCCTTTAACATTTATATACATCTTATTCAGTTATCTTCCTATTTAACACTCCATAACTTCCTGTTAAATACTCTGTAACTTGAGAAAGACTAGAAAACATTTTATGAGTGAAATATCTCAGTCACATAAGCACAAATATTGCATATTGTTCTTGTTGTTGTTGATTGCCGTCAGATTGAGCATGACTCATGGTGATCCTATGAACAAAAGTCCTGAAGCCTAACTGTAACTATAAAACTATATAGCTATAACAATAACAACTATAATAATAACTAACTAAAACTATAACTATAAATATAAAACTG